CCCCCCCAGCCTCTGAACTGTACTTGGGCAGCCGTGTGGGCTGGGAAATTGATCCACGTTAAAAATAATACAGGGAAAACAAAACAAGTTATTTTTAACCCAAGTCAGTCCCATGATCGAGAAGGCGTATCTGTGAGACTGTCCCAAAGCAAGGTATTCTTCAGTTGTTTAACAGGTGCGCACAGACAAATCAGATAATGCGTTTCTGATAAATTAGTTTATTTTTCTTCATTAGTTCTTCATCTTGTAACTTTAGAATTTGTACATCTTTGGGAAAGGCATTAATTAAAATTCTTCCTAGCTATCCAGCTGTGAAACCACTATTCTTATTTAAAGCGGTAGCTTCATCACATGAAGCTTTGATCTTTTATAATAAAAGGACATGAAGCAGAGCATAAACAGATGTCAATTCACTTTCAGCAGTCAGCTTTGTAGTGCAAAGTTTACATCCAGTATCTGTGCACCGAGAGATGATTTCAACGAGGAACGAGGACTTTGTGTGCTGGGTAACCAGCCAAACACCGTGTGTGCTGACACCAGGACGGCTTGTCCAAGCAAGTTACACAGACAAGGGAAAAGCAGTTATCTTCAAAACTGCAAACTGTGCAAGAGTAAAGAACGAAGCGGCAGCCAGGCAGGCAGGGGACACGGGGCAGCAGGCACCCCGCACACCCACGGCGTGCGTCCCGCAAACGCCGAGAACTGAGAAACGTGTCTGGGCCAGGGCTGAGACGACGAGCTGCGATCCTGTGTAAGCAGCAGGCAGAAAGGCAAAGCTGGCAGCAGACATGGTCATAACTATTTGAGGGCTGATAGCGATTTTCAGGGAGTTGCAGCGACAGACTCCCTCCTCTGGTGGTATCGTTATCTGCTGATAATCGTGAACCGCAGGGCTCTGAACACTTCTGGGTGACAGACGCCCTAAAGCAGAGGCGGACAGCACCCAGAAAATGGGAAGTTCCTGGGTTTGGCCGGTCTCCTGTGCTCACAGATGCACACGACTGCTGCACGTCCCCCCACCAGTCCTCCTCATATAGCGTCACTGCAGACCAGGCTGATCAGAATCCCTCAAGACCTGAGCTATCCACACAATGCCAAAACCAGGAGAAATGTTATGGATGAACTGGAAATGCCTTGATATACTTGAAGGACAATCAGCACCATCAGAAGGCAGCTAGGAAATCTGGACTATAAACAAACACCACTTGCAGATGCGCAAACAGATTCAGAGGCTCTGCCAGCCGATGAGAAGTTGGCTGGGATTTCTGATAGGTGGAATAGTAAGAGCTGACTCAAGTGCTG